GTGTGTGTGTGTGTGTGTGTGTGTGTCTCGCTGGTGCTCTTTCTCCTGGTCCTTCAAGTCTCTTCCAAGGCAAGACTCCCAGGGGGGACCGGGCATGGTCCTGCCCCTGCTCAGTCCAGGTGCCCCCCACCCCACGGCCTCCTCAGATGGCAGTGTCCCAGAGGACTGTGTGCTGCCGGCGGCAGGGCGGGGTGCCGGACTTGCGGGGCTCGGGCCCCCGGCGCCAGCTGGGGAGGATGGGCATGCTCTCCTGTTTGCACAACCCGCGATCGGGCCGGTGCCGCGCCTTGATCTCCTTGCAGACGCAGCGCTTGCGCTCGATCACCTCCAGCAGCTTGCCATCCCGCTCGTGGGCCGGCTGGGGAGGCAGGGGCAGGGGCAGCGGCAGCGGCAGTGCAGGGGGGGTCTGTGCCCCTTCCTCCCCGACGCCGGCCCAGGGCACCGGGGAGAAAGGAAAGGGGGAGTCAGGACCTTGGAAAGAAAGGCCCTGTGTCCCCGCTGCCTTCTTGCGGGAACAAGTCCCCTCCACCCTCTTCTAGCTGTGGGGCCAGCCCCAAACCAAACTGCTGCCATGGGCTCCATCCTGGCTCCTAGGACCCTCTCAGGAGGGGCACAACCGCCCCCGGGAGCTGCCGAGCCGGTAACTTTGTCTTAGCGACCCTACAGGATAGGGTAGAACTGTCCCTGGAAGTTTCCCAGGCTGTCACTTGTTACAGGAGCAGCTGGTGAATTCGAACTGCTGACCTTGCGGTTAGCAGTCGTCCACCTCGACAGCACGCCTGCTTTCCAAACGCACCAAGGTGGTTTCGGAGTGACCTCCAACCAGAACCCTGCCTCTGGCTTCTGGCCCCTCCTTAAGCAGCCCCTTCCTGGGATCCTGTGACCTCCTGAGCCCTCTAGTTAGTCCTTAGGGGCCCTCTTGCCCAGCGTCCCTGCGGACTCCTGCCCAAGCCAAGTTCAAAGGCGGCCCCAGCCGAGCCTTTGCGGCTCACCTGGCTCTGGGCGTCCCTGGGCTGGCTGCAGGGCCGGGGCGTGTGGAACGCGGCCTGGCGGACCCCGGAGGTGGAGGCCGAGCGCCCCAGGCGGTAGCCTCCAGTGAAGTCTGAGGCGAAGAGGTGGGGTGAGGAGGGAAGGGGCTTCGGACTGCCCCCTCCCCCAGCAGAGGCAGACTCAGGGCCTGGGGCATGCTCTTGGGGTGGGAGTGGGGCTCTGGTAAGGTCATGGACTAGGCCCTGGGAGACCCCTCCCAGGCCAGCCCCGTCTGGGTTTGTGTGTCTTCAGGCAGGGTGTCACCTCCGTTGCGGTGGCAGGCAGGGAAGGTCTGGCAGGGAATGGGCAGCGCTGTACGGCTCCCTCCTCGGTCCCCTCCATGGTGGATCCTGGCCAGCAGGCCCTCTGCCCCTTGGCTCCGCACTGGGATGCCGGATGCTGCAGGACCTCTGTCCTCACGCTCCACCTTGCCTGGACCCTCGGCACTGCCATTCCAGGCCCGGGCACTCTCGGCTTCTGCTGGGATGACAAGGAGCCCTGTCTGTGGAAGGAATCCCGCTGAGCCCCCAGCCACACAGATGGGCCACAGCCCAGATGGGCCAGGAGGAGGGCACGCGCCTTCTTACGCCAGGACATGGGTGAGTGAGACCCAACAGCACATTCCCCAACACACACACACACACACACACACACACACACACACACGACTGCCTCTCGCCTTCTTTCTCCTCGCCCATCAGTACCATTCCTGTAGGACTGTAGCACATGTATTTGTTGCTTCTGGACCGTTTGCCCTGGTCAGAGATGTCTATTCCACCCCCAGTCTCCTTCAGAGCCCCTGCTGCTCCACCCAGAGGTGGCATGCTACCCCACGGAAACAGACCAGAAGCACTGTTTCCCAGGACTGGGGGGAATTCCAAATTCTGGGCTGTGTGTGTGTGTGTGTGTGTGTGTGTGTGTAGGGGAGGAGGGTACTGGGGGAAGGGTTGCCTATGAACTAAGAGCATCTCAAAGAGCAGGCCTGGCAGCGCATTGTGTTGCCAGGCAACGGTAGGGGCCTGCCGCTCCTCTCTCTCCTGTATGGATGGGTTGCCATGGGAACCACTGGGAGGCAGCTGTGTTTAGCTCCTAGTGTGCGCACACTCACAAACACACCCCTGCAGCCCCAGGAAGAGCAGGACCGGCAGGAGGAAGACCCGGCCTCCACCCTAACCAGCTCACCCCCACCCGTTTTCCAGAAAACTTCCTTCTAGGGGACAATGGGCTGGAGCTGCCAAATAGCTCCGCCAACAAGCTCCCCCCACTCCCCCAACCATTCCCCCAAACCTCTTCACTGACCCGCCCCCACCCGCTGTCCGCACTCACTGTCCAGCTCCTTCGCCTTCCTCCCTCCATACAGGACCTTCCGTTGCAGAGCCCAGCTGGCCCCGAAGGTAGTGGCACCCATCTCCTCTTCGTCCTCCTCTGGTGTCCCTGCGCTGGCGATGACATGGGCACAGGAGATCCTGGCGAAGGCCCCCCCATCAGCCCCTTGCTCCTGCAGCTGGATCTTGACCATGGGGGACGGGGCCCCCATGCCACAGCCCTTATTCAGCACCCCCCCAGCCTTGAGGCTCTCGTAGGCAGGGGGTCTCTTGAGCCCAGCAGCTGAGGCTGGGTAGGTCCAAAGGGGGGCCAGGGAGCCTGTGGTTGGGTCCGGAAGGCTGTGGGGAGGTGCGAGGCAGGCTCGGTGGTGGAGGACCCCAGCTGCTGCCCCCATAGCCCCGCTGTGGGGGCTGGACTTCCCTGGCACAGGAGGCCTTGAGCTGGTACACAGCATCCCATGGAGAACTGAGATCTCCTTCTCTGTCTTTGGTTCCCCAGCACCCAGGGGTGGGCCTACTGGCAGCACAGAGTGCGTGGTCACCTTGACGGCCGAGTACACCATGGTGTAAGACACGGCCTTGTCCTTATGGGGCCCAGGGAGCAAGGCAGCCGGGGCAGAGGGGGCTACCGGCGCCCCCGCCACCCTGGGACAGATCATGCTGTGGGAGTTGGGGAGCTCCCGCTCGCCCCGGGGCTGGCCAGAGCCCTGGGGTGGCAACGGTGTCGAGTGGCTCCGGGCCCTGCCCGACGGTCCCAGCAGCAGTAGGTTGGCAGCAGGAGGCAGAGGCGGTGGGGGAGGCGTCTCTCGCTCCCGTGCAGGCACTTGGGGAGCTAGGGCAGAGCCCCCTGGCTCTTTGGAGTGGCAGAGGACCGGCAGCCTCGAGACCCCATCACCAGGGACCCGGGAAGCAGACTTGGCTTGGGGGAAGGCCAGGAGTGGAGGGCGGTGCTGGAGGAGGTTGGGGAAAGGCGGGGGGATTTCACAAGGAGTGGTCTTGGTGGGCGTCCCGTCCCTCCGGCCGGGGAGGGCGGAAGCTGGACGTCGGTGGGCATGGGGCTGGAGTACGTGGGGTGGCTGGTGTGGTGGGGAGGCTGCCGTCACTGGGTGGGCCCCGCTGGGCCGGCCTTCCCCCGCCTCTTCGGGCAGGGGGTACTTCATCTCTTCATAGATAGCCTCACTCTCTTCCGAATCCGAGTCCGGGCCAGCTGGGGGGGTTGGGCCCCCGCCCGCCAGAGGGGGCCCAGCCAGACACCCTCCACTTCTTCCTCCTCCCCTGAAGACATCCCCCACCATCTCAATGTATACGGGCTCTTCTTCTTGGGCCCCCGCATCAAGGTCCCCAGCTACTCGGGACCCTCGGCTGAGGCGCTGCAGGGGCAGGTTCCCCCCTCGAGGAGAGGGGGCTTGGGGACAGGACTCATCGAAGGAGACCGAGAGTTGGGTGTTGGGACTTCGCCTGGGCTTCTGTGGAGGGACCTTCCGGCTCGATTCTCGGCTCTCTGGGGCTGGCTTCTGTGAGGCTAGGCAGGGTGGAAGAGAGAAAATAAATTCGACTTAGTCAGGAAGGCAATGGGGGGGCCTTTCTGACCTCTGACTTCATCTGTGAGGATGGATCTACCTCTTTATTTTTCCTCCCTCCTGAGCTTGTAGCCATTGTGTTTCTTCTCTACCCACCTTTCCTTCCTCCCTCCTTCTAAGGGACTCCCCAGAATCTACAACGCCCATCATAAATTCTCTCCCAAACTTATGTCCTTCCCAGGCCACCCCTTTCCCAAGGATGGGCTTTCCCCTGCCCTTAAACAGGTTCTTCTCAGGCCCACCAGGCATCTGAGAATGGAACCTCCCTTCCTGCTTCCTTGCTCCTGCCTGGAACAAACCCGAACCCTCTGGTTGGCTTCCCCAGGCCTGCAAAGGATCCTCCGGCTCCTAGCTCTCACCTGCTTTCTTGCTGGAGGGCGTCTCTGCCCCAGACCCTGCCATGCTGAGCTTGGTGCTGGGGTGTCTCCGGGGTTTGGCTGGGGGTCTTCGGGCACTGCTGTCCTCTGTGAGACCCCTCCTGCCATCCCCAGGCCCACCCCCCACACTGTCCATACTGCCCACCGAGTGGCAGGAGAGCGAGCGGGGGGCCATGGCGCTGCGGCAGGGGTGAGGGGTGTGCTCCTGCGAGGCGGGCATCGTCATGAAGCCCATCCTGAGGGAACGCCGCAGCGAGGCGATGTCCCGCACGCGGACCCCGGGCCCCGAGCTGGTGGTCCCTGGCCCCGCTTGGCCTGCGGGGCCCACCTCCTTACTGGAGCTGGGGAGACAAGACCCAAGAAGGAACAGGGGTCAGGCCTCAGACCTGCCCTGTCCCGTTGCGTCCAGCAGCAAAGAGAGAGAGACTGACTTTCAATCCTGTCTCCGTGCTACTCCCCACCCCCAGGGAGGAGGATAGGAGCCCAAGGGTGGGAACCTAAAGGCCCAAGGCACAGAGGTAGGGGGCTTTAAGCTGAACCCTTAGACTTAAAAGGAGGCAAGAAAACTGGGGCAGGGATGGAAGTAGCGCTAAGACTGTGTGCTCTGGGGCATCCTGGCGACTGGCAGATCCCATGCCAGGCACACACACACCCCATGCCCTGTACCCCCAGAGGTGGAGACATGTAAACCTAGGTAGCCCGGCTCCTGAGGCTAACCAGCCCAGCCTGTTGCCACAGCTCCACTCCTCTGCTCCGGCTCCTACAGGCCCACCCACTCCTGACCCCTGGCTTCTGGTCTCCCCTCCTGGCCTGTCCCACTACTGTGACCATGGGCCTCCACCCCTCCTCCTCACCCAGAGGTTTACGCCAGGCAGCATCACCATCGCAGCCTCCCCTGGCTGATCTTTTTTGGGGTGCTACTGTCCTCCAAGAGATCCCACCTCTACTCCCAGGCCTGTCCCCCTTGCCACTGTCCATTGCTGCCCAGCGAGTGCCGTCCTTTCTCTGGCTCACCCCCATTCCTTTCACAGTCCCTGAGCTGCTCTGCCAGTGAAGGGGGGCTGAGGGATGGGGGTGGCTGGCAGGGAAGAGGAGAAAGCTGCTGTGGGGTGGGCTCTCATTAAGGCCCTGTCTACTAGCCCTTCATTAGGGAGAGATCAGTGCCATGATAGCTCTGATTAATCTAATTAACAACAAGAATTAAACTCCCCAGTTGCGGGGAGGGCGAGGGGAGCCATGGGGTGGCTCTCTGACTCAGGTTCCAGGAGGCTGTGCAGTCAGTGCAAGTGAAGCGGAGAAGCAGTGAGAGGGGAGAGGCCAGACCCTGGGTCCCGTGGAGAACAAGGTGCGAGGGCAGCTGGGGGCAGGTGAGGGCACCTCGGCCCTGGCTCTTCACCAGAGCCCAGCCTGCATGCCTACCCCTCACCCCCGATAACCCAGACACTTTGCCACCTACTCCACCCAGTAGAGTAGGCTGGGAAGGGGCCAGATGAGCCTTCTCTGACACCCCCACCCGGGACCCAAGGAGGGCCACAGGGCCTGCCCCTTCCAAGGTCAGGTGACCAGAGAAATCGGCTGTCAACCCCACACTGACAGAAAGAAGCAGCCCACAGGCCAGAGGTGAGTCAGGAAGCAGCAATCTGGCCTCAGGGGAGGAGGAAGCCAAGGCTGGGTGCTGGCGAAGCTAGAACTCTCCTGGAGGCCAGGCCAGGCGCCAGAGCTGGGGAAAGGACCCGGCTGTGCCATCCCAGCAGCTCTGAGCTGTGCTGAGCACCGGACCCGACTCCGAGACCAGGGAGGCGGGCTTATGACAAAGCTGCTCAGACTCAGGACCTGGGAAAAGGGCCGAGGGGCAGGCAGGGGCTGTCTCGGGACCCAAAGCCTTACCTCCTCTTGGCCTCTTCCTCCTTGTGCTGCCTCCACTCCAGCTTGGTTTTTCGGTAGAGGAGGTTCATGTCGTGGGACAGGAGGGGGGTGCTGGGGGACCCTGCTCAGTGCCACCAGGCCCGGGGGGCGGCCCTCCCTGGGTCCCGGATCCACTTGGGCGTAGTGGAGGAAGAGCAAGGAAAGGAAGAGGTGGGGCGGGAGGTGGGTGAAGGGGTTGGGGGTCAGGAATGAATGAGAAAGAGAGAGAGACACACACAGACACATGACTCGGGGCCTCCGAGAGAGGAACCAAGCAGAGACACAGCCTCCAGGACTCCCAGACAGATACACAGAAAGACCCAGAGTGACACTCCCTCACAATAGTGTTCCCAGTCACAAACCCATGCCTCAGATCAGGCTGACGGATTGTCAGGACACAAAACACAGGCCTCCACGCAGTGACACGGGCACGTATGGAGACACGCAAACCTCCCTCTGAGAGCCACACACCTAGGTCTCCCTCCAGAGGGCTGGTCCAGGGAAACACTAATCTAAGAACACACACACACAGCGGACACACACAGCCATCAGCACCCCCCGACACACCCACAGATACAGACATCCAAACAGACCCAGATCTGCTACCCAGCCCGGGACACACCTGCAGATGCGGAGTTCTGTTCAGGGCCTACTTGCGTACATTACACCCCACTGGGGAAGAGGGAGACAGAATCCCCAGCCCACTAGGGCCCCCAGGTTTGCGGGAGGTGGTGAGGGCAGGGTGGGGATGCAGGAGGAGGAAGGGTAAGGGACATTCAGGTTGGGGTTCTATAATACCACCCACCCATCTATCCGTCTCTCTCCCCTCCAGCCCTTTGGGCCAGGGCCTCGGTCCACCCCAAATCCAGATCCCCGGCCCCTCCAGAGGCAATGGTCTCCGCCTCATTCCCTCACTGATGCCTCAAATCACCTTCTTCTTCCTCCAGGATGGTGGAGGCTCCAGGTGTCTCTCTTCCGGCGGCGTCCCTCAGTCCCACCCGGGGGTCTCCAGCCTGGCCCCGGAGCTATCCTGGGCTGCGGCCTCCATACCTGCTCTGGTTTCCCTTCCCCCAAACACACGCTCCTCTCCGGCCCCGGCCTCACTTCTCTCCCCGGCGCCCCTCCTCACTGCCGTCTTCCCCCTTCCCCAGTTTATTCCAAACCTGGCCTGCTGCATCCCCTCTCCATCCTAGGGCCCCAGGTTCCCGGCCACCCCTCCCCTTCTCCTTGTCCTGCCACCCTGGGTTCCTCCGCCTCTCGCCCAGGCAACCCTCCCTGCCCCTTGGCCCCCTACCCCACCTCCCCGCACCGAGTCTCCCCAATTTCGACACCGCCGTACCTGGCCTGCCGGGCGCCGGCCCCCCCATGCCGGGCTCCGCCCGGAGCAGGAGGAGGGAGGAGGACAGACACAGAGAGACCGGGGTGGGGGGGAGCGGAGCTGGGCCCTGCCGCAGAGACAGCCCCGCCTCCGGGTCCGCCCCCAGACCCGCCCCCGGCCCCAAACCCACCCT